GCAGGCCATAAAGATGTTCAATAGCAATTAGCTTTTATTGTTCTCATCTCATTTATGTGTATAGGAGCCATCAAAATGTAAAATGCACACATCCTCTGACTTAGCAACTCCCCTTCTAGGAATTTATCCCTGCAGATGTGTTCACGCATGGGTGCAAGGATATATGTACATGGATACTAATTTGCAGCATAATTTAAAGAGCAAAATAATGGACACAAACTAAATATGAGACTGGTTAAATAAATAAGGATGCAGCCATGTAGCATACAGCAGGGCAAGCACACCAAAGATATCCCTGCACATTGATGTGGAGTGATCAGTAGATAAAGCAAGGTGGGAACAGTGTCTGGAGCATGCTACAAAGTTGTTTTGTTTGGTTTTGTTTTGAGACAGGGTCTCGCTCAGTCACCCAGGCTGGAGTGTAGCGGCGCGACCATAGCTCACTGCAGCTCAACCTCCCGAGCTCAAGTGATCCTCCCACCTCAGTCTTCCGAGTAGGTAGGACTATAGGTGCATGCCACCATGCACAGCTAATTTTATTTATTTATTGTAGAGGCAAAGTGTAACTATGTTTCCCAGGCTGCTCTCCAACTCCAAGACTCAAGCAGTCCTCCCGCCTCAGCCTCCCAAAGTGCAGGGATTACAGGCATGAGACACTGCACCCAGCCAAGACTTTTTTTTAAAGGGAATACATATTGATACGTGTGTGGCTAAGTGGGTACACACACACACAAACACACACACACAAATCTCTGAAATAACTAAAGAAATGCATCAGCTGAGCTCCTGTAGTTCCAGCTACTTGGGAAGTTGAGGTGGGAAAATAACTTGAGCTCAGGAGTTCGAGGCTGTTGTGTGCTATGATCAAACCTGTGAATATCCAGCCTGGGTAACATAGTGAGACGGCCCATCTCTTTAAAAAGAAAAAAAGAAAGAAAGAAATGGATCAAAGTACTTGCCACTGGGGAAGGGAACTGAAGTGAGGTGGTGGCAAAGGAGAGACAGTTCTGTACCTTTTCTGCAGGGCTTAACTTCTTTATCCTGTGTATAAAATTTTTTTTTCTTTTTTGTTTTTGAGGTGGAGTCTCGCTCTGTAGCCCAGGCTGGAGTGCAGTGGCGCAATCTCGGCTCACTGGAAGCTCATCTCCCGGGTTCACGCCATTCTTCTGCCTCAGCCTTCCGAGTAGCTGGGACTACAGGCGCGTGCCACCATGCCTGGCTAATTTCTTTGTATTTTTAGTAGAGACGGGGTTTCACCGTGTTAGCCAGGATGATCTTGATCTCCTGACCTTGCGATCTACCTGCCTTGGCCTCCCAAAGTGCTAATTACAGGCGTGAGCCACTGCGCCCAGCCGTGTGTAAAAATTTTTTAATGCACATACACATACCCCCAGTAAAGAATAATCATCAAAGAATTAACCTTGCCAACACTATCTAACAGTGGCACCTACTGGTAAAATCGCTTCCTATCCCAAAGTGTATCTTAGAAAAGAAAACCCATAGTTTTCCTGGCACAACCATTTCAGCTATTAGTCAGGAAATATGTTTATATTAAAGGCTCATAAGGAACCCTTCATTGGCATTAGGCCTTCTGAGCATAAGAGTTAAAAGTACCATCTGGCTGGTAAGTTATGGTTCATTATGGTTTGAGTTACAAGCTACAAAAAAAAGAGTGGAGAATGCTTCTATGTGCTTCCGTGGGGTGATCTCCAGCATATAGTGTTAAGCGAAAAATGCAAGGCAGGACAAAACTGTGCAGAGTATGCTACCATTTCCCTAAGAAGGGCAGTGGATTACAAAGACATACAGCTTTACTTATATCTAAAAAATGGGAAGATAAACCAAGAAAAAAAGAATGAATGCTTGCCATAAGGGAAGGCAGTGAACAGGCTACAGGGGACAGAAATAGAACTAGATTTCTCTAAATCAGTGGTTCTCAACCAGGGTGATTCTGCTCCTGTCCCCAAGAGATATTTGACAATATCTGGAGGTACTTTTAGTGTCACAATTGGGCAGGGGTGAGGGAGTGATACTGGCACCTAGTGGGCAGAAGCTCCCACACACAACAAAGAATAATGTGTCCCCAAATGTCGATATAAGGAACTTATATCTAGAATATATAAAGAACCGTTACAATTCAATAATAAAAATACAAATATCCCAATTTTAAAATAGACAAAGGATGTGAATGGACATTTCTCCAGAGAAGACATACAAGTGGCCAATAAACACATGAAAAGATGCTCAACATCCTTAGCCATCAGGCAACTGCAAATCAAAGCCACAATGAGATACCACTTCACATCTACTAGGATGGCTATCATCAGAAAGACAGAAATAACAAATGTTCACAAGGATATGGGCAAATTAGGACCATCATACATTGCTAGCAGGAAATTAAAATGTTGCAGCCACTTTGGAAAATAGTCCTGCAGTTCCTCAAAGGGTTAAACACAGAATTACCATATGACCCAGCAATTCCACTCCTGGTGAAATGAAAACATATGTCCACACAAAAACTTTCACATGAATGTTCACAGCAGCATTACTCACAACACCAAAAAGTAGAAACAATGCAGATGTTCATCAATGGATAAATAAAATGTTGCATGTCCACATAATGAAATATTAATTAGCAATAAAAAGAAACAAAGTACTGATACATGTTACAACATAGACAGACCTTGAAAACATTATCCTAAGTAAAAGCAATCAGTCACAAAAGGCTACATATTGGATGATTCCATTTACATGAAATGATTCAAATAGGCAAATCTATAAAGACAGAAGGTAGACTAATGGTTGCCTGGGGCTGGTGGGGATAGGAGGTTTGGGGGTGTCAGCTAAGGTGTGTGGGATTTCTTTCTGGAGTAATGAAAATGGCCCAAAATTGCTTGGAATGAGAGTGGCACAGATTTGTGAATATGCTAAAAAAAACATTGGATTATACAGTTTTTTTGTTTGTTTTTTGAGAAAAAGTCTCATTCTGTTGCCCAGGCTGGAGTGCAATGGCACAATCTCAGCTCACTGCAACCTACGCCTCCCGGGTTCAAGCAATTTTCCTGTCTCAGCCTCCCTAGCAGCTGGGATTACAGGCATGCACCACCACGCTCGGCTAATTTTTTGTATTTTTAGTAGAGATGGTGCTTTAACTTGTTGGCCAGTCTAGTCTCAAACTCCTGACCTCACCTCAAGTGATCGACCCATCTCGGCCTCCCAAAGTGCTGGGATTGCAGGCGTGAGCCACCATGTCTGGCCGGATTATATAGTTTAAATGGCTAAATTTTGTGGTATATGAATTATATCTCAATAAAGCTGTTTAAAAAAAAAAATCACGATTGTGAGGCGCGAGCTCCATTAGAAGGAGGTGCCCAGCAGCAGGCACACGATTGGGTGTGCATGGGTGGCTGGCAAACAGCCTGACTGAAGGCCAACCATCATCTTGCAGAGCTTGCTCTGTTAGTGGTGAGCACAGTAGCATGGGGCAGAGGGCAGAGGCAGGTAAAGAAAAGAGGTCAGGAAAGCCTTCCTCAGGTGAATAGGAAGTTGTTGGTAACTGAGTTGTTTTTTTGTTTTTTTGTTTTTTTGTTTTTTTTTTTGAGACAGAGTCTCGTTCTGTCACCCAGGCTGGAGTGCAGTGGCTGGATCTCGGCTCACTGCAAGCTCCGCCTCCCATTCTCCTGCCTCAGCCTCCCGAGTAGCTGGGATTACAGGCACCCGCCACCTCGCCCGGCTAGTTTTTTGTATTCACCGTGTTAGCCAGGATGGTCTCGATCTCCTGACCTCGTGATCCGCCCATCTCGGCCTCCCAAAGTGCTGGGATTACAGGCGTGAGCCACCACGCCCGGCCTGAGTTGTTGTTAATTAAATTCTTCATTGGTTTCATTGAGATTCCAGGGGGAAAGGGATTTTAGGCAGGTGGACATCTCAGGTATGCGAAACCTCAGACTGCATCTGAAAACTAGTTCAGACTGTCCAAACGTAAAACTCGAAGCATGTAGCCTGGGCAACATAGTGAGACCTTGTCTCTACAAAAAAAATCAAAAAATGAGGTGGGAAGATTGTTTGACCCCAGGAGGTCTAGGATTCAGTGAGCTGCGATCATGCCACTGCATTCCAGCCTGTGTGACAGAGTGAGACCTTGCCTCAAAAAAACACAAAACAGAAAAAAACTCAAAGCCTGGGAGGAATCAGGATGCCATGGGATGAATCAGCAAAGCAGCAGGTGACAGAGCACAATGGCTTTGGGACCCAGCCCAGAATCCTGGACTGAATATGTTAAGGGAAAAGAAACTGATGGAAGATGAGGACTGGCAGCAGAATCACTGTCACTTTTGTTTTAGAAAGACAGATGACCACCAGTGTGGAAAATAGGCAGACTGGCGATGAGTCTGGAGACAGGACAGCTCATTTATTTATAGTAGATGTTATAAATTGTTGTCACAGTCAATTTAATCCTTTCCTAAACATTAAGCTTGAAAGCTGCGACAAAGAGAAATCAGTCCAGGATTATGACTGTCTTTAAAGCATAGCTGAGAAGATGGACTATCAAGAACAAAGGAATTTAATATAAGAATAATATAATTTAAAATGTTCTGGTGCTGTAAAGAAAAAATAATAGACCCCCCCTTTTTTTTGAGAGGGAGTCTCACTCTGTCACCCAGGCTGGAGTGCAGTGGCACAATCTCAGCTCACCGCAACCTCCACCTCCCAGGTTCCAGCGATTCTCCTGCCTTAGCCTCCCGAGTAGCTGAGATTACAGGCATCTGCCACCACATCCAGCTAATTTTTGCATTTTTAGTAGAGACCAGGGTTTCACCATGTTGACCAGGCTAGTCTCGAACTCCTAACCTCAAGTGATCCGCCTGCCTTGATCTCCCAAAGTGCTGGCATTACAGGCGTGAGCCACGGCGCCCAGCCAATAGCCCCTTATGAATTTAGGCAAGAGCCAGGACCCAAGTGACAATGACTGGACCCAGAAAGATAAACAAGCCACTTACCAGAGGAACTGAGGCATTTGGCCTAAATTCTGTGGAATCAGCATCTGAAGATTAAGAAAAGAGTTCAGTAATTCACCAATAATGCTGAAAAATATTTGAAGAGAGAAAATTTTTAAAATAAATGGTCATTAGCAAACCTCAAACTTACCTTTCAAGTTAAGGCAGTTTCTTGCAAACTCTATCACTGCTAGTTGCATCCCAAGACAAACTCCTATTTTAAAAAGCACATATGTAAAGCAAATGAACTCACTTTGTATTTGTTCATATTTTCTGTTCATTTGTTGGCTGCCTGTCTCCCCTATCTAGAATGCAGAGTCCCAGAGAGCAAGACTCTGCCTGTTTTGCTCCCTGCTGTCCCCTCAGAACAATCCCTGGCAGAGAGCAGGGCAGGGGCTTAGACTATCAAGAAGCCACCTAAGTCCCAAAGTTGACAAAGAAGGAACACAAGGTGAGAAAAGTGCCCAGAGTGCAACCGCCGGCACAGATGGGCTCTAAGCCCGTTTAGTATCTCCAGCACGCTTTGGGAAAAGCCAAGGTGTGCACGTATGTTACTTGAGGTCAGGAGTTCGAGGCCAACCTGGCCAACATGGTGAAACCATGCCTCTACTAAAAATACAAAAAATTAGCCAGGTGTGGTGGCGTACACCTGTAATCCCAGCTACTTGGGAGGCTGAGGCAGGAGATCACTTGAGCCCAGGAGGCAGAGGTTGCAGTGAGCTGGAGTCACACCACTGTACTCCAGCCTGGATGGAAAGAAGGAAGGAGGAAAGAGAAGAAAAAAGAGAAAGAGAGGAAGGAGGGGCCAGGGTGCAGTGGCTCACGCCTGTAATCCCAGCACTTTGGTTGGCCGGAGGTGGGCGGATCACGAGACAGGAAATCGAGACCATCCTGGCTAACACAGTGAAACCCTGTCTCTACTAAAAAAAAAAAATACAAAAAAATTAGCCGGGCGTGGGGTGTGGGCGCCTGTAGTCCCAGCTACTGGGGAGGCTGAGGCAGGGGAATGGCATGAACCAGGGAGGCAGAGCTTTGCAGTGAGCAGAGATCGCTGCTCTAGCCCTTGGACTCCAGCCTGGGCAACAGAGTGAGACTCTGTCTCAAAAAAAAAAAAAAAGAGAGAGAGAGAGAGAAGAAGGAGGGAAGGAATGGAAGAAGGAAGAGGAGGGAAGGAAAGGAAGGAAGAAGGAAGGAAGGAAGGAAGGAAGGAAGGAAGGAAGGAAGGAAGAAGGAAGGAGGAAAGGGAAGGAAAGAAAGAAAAAGAAGAAAAGAGAGAGAGAAAGAAGGAAGGAAGGAAAGGAAGGAAGGAAGGAAGGAAGGAAGGAAGGAAAGGAGGAAGAAAGAAAGAAGAAAGAGGTCGGAAGCAAAAGAAGAAAAGAAAGAAAGAAGAATTAGGAAGAAAGGAAGAAGAAAGAAAGAAGAAAGAAAGGAAGAAAGAAAGAAAGAGTGAGTCCCTGAGACCAATCTGCCACCTTCTAGATTTGTCCCTGAGTTGAGGCATCTCAGTGGGCTGCAGTGCCTGATTCCTTCAGAGAACATCTAACACCCCAACTCGGAGGGAGTTTCCTGGGCTAAGATTTCCCACTCCTTCTCATGGTGACTTCACAGCCACAAACACAGGATTGGCCAGAGGGTGAGCGCCTACAGGACGTCAGGCTCCCAGACCCAGCTCTGCCTTCACTGCAGTCCACCAATTCTCTCCACTAAACACATGCCAAAGAGCATCCCAGATGCTCCTCCGATAGATACATAAGAAGTACACAGGGGAAACAAAGAAGGGAGCAATCAATATATCAGGGACGCCAGAACAGAAGTCAGTAAGCAGGAAACAGCTGAATGCTGGGGGGTGGGGGTGGCGGTGAGGGGGATTTCAGAAAGTTCCTTATGGCTGGGACATAAAGAGATGCTATGCTAGAGGAAAAGCTAAAGACCTGCAAACCATTCCATACCATTAAAATAGTCTGAGGAACATTACCCACATTTAGACAAAAACTTCAAAAGAAAACAATGGCTCCCAACGAGCTTAGACCAGTAAAAGGAAACAAGGTATCCAGGTAGCTACTTCAGGCTTCTATTTTGAAAATGGATCCTAAGAGGAGACAGTCTAAGAAGCTAATCAAAGAGCAGGTAATGGGGGGAAATAAATGGTCTGCTGGCACTAAAAGCCTGTCCAATCGGCTCATAAACCCACCCAGCCGTCCACTGCACAGTGGGAAACACAGCCTCTCCACACTCCCCCTCCTGCCTGAGTCCCCAGCTACGGGGCTGCCTCTCCCTCGTCAAGGTCTCATTTCCTCTGGTTTCCCTGGTACAGAAGCCATACTTCACAATTTGAAAAAAAGCATTAAAAAGGCTCAACTCGGCCGGGCGCGGTGGCTCAAGCCTGTAATCCCAGCACTTTGGGAGGCCAAGACGGGCGGATCACGAGGTCAGGAGATCGAGACCATCCTGGCTAACACGGTGAAACCCCGTCTCTATTAAGAAATACAAAAAACTAGCCGGGCGCGGTGGCGGGCGCCTGTAGTCCCAGCTACTCGGGAGGCTGAGGCAGGAGAATGGCGGGAACCCGGGAGGCGGAGCTTGCAGTGAGCTGAGATCCGGCCCCTGCCCCCCCGCCGGGGGGCAAAGGGGGGACCCCGTCCCAAAAAAAAAAAAAAAAAAAAAGGCTCAACTCGGCCGGGCATAGTGGCTCAAGCCTGTAATCCCAGCACTTTGGGAGTCTGAAGCCGGCAGATCGCTTGAGCCCAGGAGTTTGAGACCAGCCTGGGCAACATAGCAAGACCCCATTTCTAAAACACACACACACACACACACACACACACAAATTAGCCAGGCACAGTGGTGTGCACCTGTAGTCCCAGCTACTCTGGAGAGTGAGGTGGGAATTGGAGAAGGTAAGCACAGTTGCAGATGGAGCCTCCTCCCAGCCTCTGCTACCCAGCCAGAATAGCAGCAAGTTCTCCTAGGGTGAGAAACATCTTCTATAAACGGTCAGATAGTAAAGATTCTAGCCTCTTTCAGATAGTAAATCTTCTAGGCTGTAGGGTCTGAAACTCTGACGTTGGACCACAAAAGCAGCCACAGACAATATATAAACAAATTTGTGTGGCTGTGTTCTAATAAAGCTTTATTTATAAAAACAGGCTGTGGGCCAAATTTAGAATATAGTTTGTTGACCCTATAGCAGACTATTTGGCACCTGAACTTTCAAATCCGAGTTCACACCTTTATGATAACAAACATTTAGTGTTACCCCACCTAGGTGTCAAAAATCTAATAAACTCATAGTCAGGGTCAATAAACATGAGTTTTACCCAGAAAAGGAATCTTCTTTGTCCTTGCCCAAGAAATCGCCTGGAGTTTTCCCAATGTTCCTCTGATTCCGAAGCCTCCAGGCACAAGAATACCACTGAAATCAATACAAAATGAGGGTAAACTTGACTATCCATTATTTTTTTTTAACTAGTGTTTTCAGCCATTCATGCAATGCTTGCTCCAATCACTAGTGACTATGCTCAAGCTCTATTTTCAGAATCAATCATATGACTTCACACCCTGAACTTTTTTTCTGAAATCTTCCCAATGTTATGAAGAAATTGTGACAATTTCTCACAACTGACCTCAATATATATTGTATGATAAGTCTTTGTGGCATCAGAGCGTACTAACTGGGAAACCCAATTCAATTAAGAATGGCACTGGGAAAAGAAACTGAATGAAAATAGGTTAAGGTTCTTTCAAAGCACTATTATAAAAATGTTAAGATCTCTTACATCATCAGAAAGAGTTAAATTGGAAAAATCAGCCTAAGATTTCAAATGCTAATTAAGTAGTGGCAAATGAAAATTTCTTGGCTAGAAGACTTTAGCGACCTAGGCAAACACAACAGCAACACAGTTCAACAGAAAACCCAGGAGGATCATGCTAACCTCATGATGCAATGCTGCCCCCAAGAGTTCTGTCAATTACTTGCAAAATAAAACCTAAAATCTAAGACATGTGGAAAAGAAAATATAATCAAGAGAGAAAGGGCTGCTCTGTCAATGGAGTAGCTATTCTTTATTTCTTTACTTTCCTAATAAACTTGCTTTCACTTTACTCTATGGACTCACCCTGAATTCTTTCTTTAGCGAGAGCCAAGAACCCTCTCTTGGGGTCTGGATTGGGACCCCTTTCTGGTAACATCTTTCTAGCAACCACAGAAGGAACAATACTGAGTACGTGGTGGGGTCCAGTTACATCTTTCTTTTCTTTTTTTTTTTTTTTTGAGACAGAGTCTTGCTCTTGTCACCCAGACTGGAGTGCAGTGGCGCGATCTCAGCCCTCTCCAACCTCCGCCTCCTGGGTTCCAGCAATTCTCCTGCCTCAGCCTCCCGAGTAGCTGGGATTACAGGCGCACACCACCACGCCCAGCTAATCTTTTGTATTTTAGTAGAGATGGGGTTTCACCATGTTACCCACGCTGGCCTCGAACTCCTAAGCTCAGGCAATCCACCCACCTCAGCCTCCCAAAGTGCTGGGATTACAGGCATGAGCCACCACGCCCGGCCTCCAGTAACATCTTTCTAGCGAAACACGGAAGGAACAACACTGAAGAGACCCCGTACCCAAAGGAAAATCATCTGTGTGCACCAGTTGGCTGACTTTGGGTAAGTGGGGTGCATATACCCAGGTAAAGGATGGGATTGGGTTAGAGGCCCAACTTAGCGGAGTTAGAGTCTCTCCTAAGACAGAGAGGGTTAAAGGCTCCTCTCAATAAAAGGCAAGGATGCTTGACTGACCTTGGGTTCGAGGTACAACTTAGGAAGGTTAGAGTCCTTCCTAAGGTTTAGGGGGTTAGAGGCCACTCTCAGTAAAGTCCCTCTCTGCTAAGAATGGGTTTGGCACTATGGGATGTTAACTGCTATTCTCTTTGGATTATTCTGCCTTGCACTCTTTGCTGATAGTTATGGGTGACAGAACTAGGCATGTACAGGACCATGGGACATGGGGAGCTTTTTCCTCCCCAAAAGGGGAAACTTGAGAGCTGATGAGACTCCTGGAAAAGATCCCTTCAGGACTGACAAGCAGCCACCTGAACTTTTCAGTGTCGCCACAATGGGTGTGTCTTTCTCTGGACTCCCTGAGCGCTTTGCCTTCCCCAAATGCCGCGGGCAATGCTTTTCTCCCTCTCTCTCCTTTCCTTTTCTTATCTTTTCTATTGCTCAAGGCGACCATCTTGCCCAGAGACAAGTTGAAATTCCTGGTCAGAGGTTGGATTAATGATGATGGGGCCCAACCGGGGACAAGTTTGAGCCTTGCCAGTAAGATACTGGGTGCTAGGGAGAGTGGCTAATGTCGTTTTGTCACACATATTTTGCTCTGGCCAGAACGGGAAAAGATAATTTTCCTTTGTGTTGCAGCTTGGCCCCCAGGGCTGTGGTGCAGCCAGCCGGGTCACTAGGGCTGCTCAAGGAAAGGGAACCCAGAAGCCTAACATACTGACAAAAGGCTAAGAATTTTTTACTAGTCAGACTTCTGGCTTCTCTCTGTGCAAATTGGTTGAATGAATGGTAAAAATCACTGTTTATCTCCTCTGTAAAGTTTTGATTAATGGTAAAAAGGATTTGTGAGGCTACTCTTAAGCTACAGTGAATCTGGTGTGCTTTGTGTGTCTTTCCGTATTGTTCTGTTATAACGAGGGGTACCTTAGGATAGGATGTGGGCCTAGGACCCCTGTAAGCCTGCTGTTCAAGCCATCCCAGCAAACTGGTCAATCACAAACTTTGCTGTAGGTCCCTGAAGAAAAACTGGATAAGGGTTCCCTCTCATCTTGTTTCATGTCCTTGGGAGCTTGACCTTGTAACCATGTGGCAGTACTTTCTCTCGGTCTCCACCATCACAGTGGCAACCTGGGTTCAGGGTTCAATTCCTAGTTTAGGGGATAAGCCTTTCTGATTGATATTTGGGTGCTTACAACTACTGGATCTTCTTTCTGTCTGTGCATTTATATGTATTGTATGTGTGATGTAAAAAAAAAAAAAAAAAGCTTTAATCGGTTTAAAAATAGTAAGGCTTAAATCAAGTATTTTGTAAGAAAAGTAAAAATTGTAATGACTTTTAGTTCACATAACTTTAGTAATCTTTGGGTAATAAAAACAGCTTTAAAGATTATTGGGAAAATAAAGACATTTGGTCTAAATTAGGCAGGTCAGATTAGGTTTTCTCAATGCTTTAAGGTCATAAACTGCTTTGACTTTTGAAAATTGTTCAATTTACCTACTTTGGAGCATTAGATTCTAGATAAGGCCTGGGGACATGTTGAAAGTCATGCCCCCTAGCTATGCTAGAAAAGGTCAGACCTTATCTAGTGTCCTAGGCTCCATACCTAGTACATAATTAAAATTGCTTACTAACCAGATTTTTCACCAAAAGTAAAAGTTGCTGAGAGTTAACAGTGTAACCTGTAATTGAGACTACTGAAGAAACAGTTTTACATGCAAGTTGTAAAAGGAAAGTGAAACGTGTTTTTAGTAAAAGATTATAAGAAGGCATGGAAATGTGGATTTTTTTTTTTTTTTTTGCCTAGATTAAAAGGTTAAAGGATTGTTTTTTGCTTTGTGTTTTTGTTTTCAGATGAAGTTTCACTCTTGTTGCCCAGGCTGGGGTGCAATGGTGCAATCTCGGCTCACTGCAACCTCCACCTCCTGGGTTCAAACGATTCTCCTGTCTCAGCCTACCAAGTACTTGGGATTACAGGCATGCACCACCACACCTGGCTAATTTTGTATTTTTAGTAGAGACAGGGTTTCACCATGTTAGCCAGGCTGGTCTCGAACTCCTGACCTCAGGTGATCCACCCACCTCAGCCTCCCAAAGTGCTGAGATTACAGGCGTGAGCCACCGCATCCAGCTAACGGATTCTTTTAAGTTAGATAAGATAAAGCTGAAAGTTTGAGCAAGTTGTAGAAGGTTTGTGAAAGAGTAATCTTATAAAAGAAATTATGCGTGTGGACATTGGCTGAAGTTAAAGGTATATTCAGGTTTTCCATAAATTGAACATTGAAATGAAAGCACAACAGATTTCTCTTAGAGCACTGATCCGCTCTTTAACAAAAACTTGTAAAGGAGCCGGGCGTGGTGGTTCATGTCTGTAATCCCAGCACTTTGGGAGGCTGAGGTGGGCGAATCACTTGAGGTCAGGAGTTCGAGACCAGCCTGGCCAACATGGTGAAACCCCATCTCTACAAAAATACGAAAAAAATTAGTCAGGCATGATGGCAGGTGCCAGTATCCCAGCTACTTGGGAGGCTGAGGCAGGGAATTGCTTGAACCTGGGAGGTGGAGGTTGCAGTGAGCTGAGATCCGGCCACTGCACTCCAGCCTGGGCGACAGAGCGAGACTCCGTCTCAAAAAAAAAAAAAAAAAAAAAAAAACTTGTAAAGGATTATAGAAGGTTTGTAAAAATCTTACCTTATGGTCAAACTAATTAAAATTGGATAGATTTATCTATAAGGTTTTATTAAAAATTGGGTTTGACATCAATTTAATGCACTAATACAATGGTGAAGTTTGGTATATTTGGTATAAAAATTATACAAAAAGCACTGTCAAATATGAAATGGTGCTTGGTTTTCTTTGGGCTGTATTTGTATAAACATGTTATTGGTATGTGTTCCAAAATTATGAGAAACTTCTATAATTCTAATATGACTTAGTGTATGTTATTAGTAATTATCATTGTTATGTAAAATTGTTGTAAGCCACAGATGTAACAAATTCCTAGTCAATTGTGGCTTTAAGAGTGGCTGCCCTAAAACATTTTGTCACCCACAGACAATTGTATTGTTTTGGTACTCTTCAGAAGGTAGTTAATAATCAACTATAGAACTCTAACAGGTGTTCTTCAATGCAGGTTTCTGATCACTTTGGAGATTGTGACAGCAGAATAGAGGAAAATCTTTCAGGACTCTCATGGAGAGCTGAAATATTCATGACTATCAAGTAGAACAGGAGTTAGCTCCATGGAATGAACTAATAAAAAATCAATATTTTTTACTTTGCTTAAAATGTTGCTGATCCTTTTTGTTTTATTTTTCAGAGTCAAGAAAACTGTTCTTTTGAGCTATATGCAGCTTATAACAATTGAGTAAAGTATACTCCTGTGAACAAAATTTGGAGCATATTTGTTTCTTTCTACTTGATTTGTCCAGAATTTGGAAACTATTTGTGATTATTCTTAACTTACGGCAATATAGTTATTTGCATAAGTGCAATAAGAATCTTTTTTATTTTGCAACAGGACACAATTGGAGGGAGAAACTGGTTATATTACCAAGGCTTTGACTGGAATGGTGTGCTTTCCTGTAAAGAATCAAACTTGAATTATAAAGCCAATACAAGCCCCTTGGGAAAACTGGCCTCATACCTTGTCTACACAGTCCCTGTACAGGGTTTCTGACCTGTGGTAACTAAAGAATGTCACTTTCTGACAGGTCCAGGAGCCTCAAGTTATCTTGGAACCTCAAAAGGAGAGGAATTTACCCAATTCATAGGTATTTGAGGGTACAAACCCATGGCTGGGCTTAGCTTTAAAAAAGGTCTTATCTGAGATTCCTTATGGAATAAGGTTCCATCAAAGCCAATTTTAAAAGCCCATGTGAAAAATAATTATTCTTGCTGCACTTTATAGAAATAATCAGGCCAAGTATAATAAAGCAAACTGTTCTTACCATGATTTGTCTTTAGTAAAAATGGGAAACTGGAGAGAGAAAAAATTATGTTCCAAGAACTATGGTCTACCTGTTATTATTACAGATTCTAGATGCATTGGTTGTTTTTGAAGTTTTTTTCTGCAATTTAGACTGACCCTGCTTATTCCTGTGAGACAATCAGTGACCTGTGACTGCAGCTCAGAAAAAAACAAGAGTAGGGCTGGGCGTGGTGGCTCACGCCTGTAATTCCAGCACTTTGGGAGGCCAAGGCGGGTGGATAACAAGGTCAAGAGTTCAAGACCAGCCTGGCCAACATGGTGAAACCCATCTTTACTAAGAATACAAAAATTAGCCAGGAATGGTAGTGTATGCCTGTAATCCCAGCTACTCGGGAGGCTGAGGCAGAAGAATTGCTTGAACCTGGGAGGCGGAGGTTGCAGTGAGCCGAGATCATGCCACTGCACTCCAGCGTGGGAGACAGAGCAAGACTCCATCTCGGGGGAAAAAAAAAAAAGAGGGATGGGTACTGTAAAAATTGGGATCAGTGTTCTAATTCTAATTCTAATTCTAATTGGGATCAGTATTCTAATTCTGGGCATGTACTGAAATCAGCTAGCAACCGCATATCAGTTTGGTTCCAATAGTTGCCCAGTTCACGGAAAGCCTTCTAATTTAGTTTACTTGGGGTAATTTTTTGCTTTACTGTTGTGGAATATATTGCTATTGTACTCTTTGTGTAGAAATGCAGAATAAGCTTACTCAATGTTTTCTTAAATTAAACATTTATTAATCTTCCAGATATCACCTTTTGTTGGAACTCAGAGTTGTGAATGGCCCTCACCATCTGACGCTTTCTGACTGACCTCTTCTCTACCCCAAATACAAGAAACTCTAATAGTTAGGGAGGAATGTCATTGCCCCTATTCAACACGAAGAAGTTACAGAAGATGGAGCTTTGTCCCTCTGCAACCCTTAGTAATAAGAGTTCTCTTATAAAAGGGAGAGGGGAAATGTTGAACCAGAGCAATTCCATCTTGAATAGCGGCTGGGTAGAATAAGGCTGAGACCTACTGGGCTGCATTCGCAGATAGTTAGGCATTCTAAGTCACAGGATGAGATAGGAGGTCAGCAAAAGATACAGGTCATAAACACTTCATTGATAAAACAGGTTGCAGTAAAGAAGCCGGCCAAGCCGGGTGCGGTGGCTCAAGCCTGTAATCCCAGCACTTTGGGAGGCCGAGACGGGCGGATCACGAGGTCAGGAGATCGAGACCATCCTGGCTAA